TCTTTTGTTATTTTTGTTTGGGTTTTGTTTTGTTTTGTTTTTTTTTCCTGTGCCCTCAATCTCAAAATATCTTTAAGGTATTGGATTTAACTGCTGACATAGACTTAACCATCTTCTAAAGTCCACAGTATTCCCCAAGTCTATATTTTTTCTCATCTTCAGTGTTCCTCTGATTTAACTGTTCCATTTTGTCTTGACTTTTGATTATCCCAGGGTCCGATTGGTATGGATGGAAAGCTGGTAGGTGATTTGTTCAAAACCAGTATAATTTAGGTCTGGCACATATTCCCTCTTTGCTTTTTTAATTACTCATGCTGAAATGTATGTTAATCACATATGGGCTTCCTTCAGCATAATTTATTTCAACCTCAGTAGCATAGATTTTTAACAGAGTGCTGAAAAGCCACTTCAATCATTTGCATCTATCCAAGGAAATGGAGGTCAGCTATACTATTCCTGTTTCCTTACCATTTTCTACCTGGATTAGATCGGAAGACAGATGTTCCTAGTTGGGTGCTCTGTCCAGAGAACGCTCCACAAGGGTAATTTGGTGGTGCCTTTCAAACAGCAGGATATTATTTCTGATCGCATATCTGTGACTCTTGCTGTTTTCCTTTTTCCACGGGTTTTTGTGTTTTAATTTCTCTGTCTGGATTTTGTTGGCTGATTAGATCTGAACAGCCTCATGTCTCATTTAAAATGTGTTTGTATGCATCCCAGACATTCTTTAGGGAGATACCGCTTGAGTTAAATTAGAAATAACCTTTAATTTTATACAGTGCATTTGTAAATCTATTTGCATTTGTGTATATATTTGTATATCCATATATTTAGGATGTATAACCCTAGAAGTTTATGTTCCCAGCTTTTTAAAGATTAAACTAATGCAAAAAGTGTAAAAATACAGTTTCTGCACTTTCTCATGCTATTGTTTTTGCTCCCTCTCTTTCTTCTTTTCCAGGACAGCCCTTTTCTCTGATATCCTGAAACCTTTTTTTTTTTTTTTTCCCTGTCTTTTAATTTGCTACAAGCCCCATTTCCTTTGCAATCTCAACTTGTTAACTTGCACTGTCAGCTTCCATTTTCTTCTCTTAAGACTCTTTCCTGTGCTCCTTGAGGTCTCTTTCTACCGTTAAGTAGCTTCTCTGCAATGTTTGCAGCCTCCAGTCAATAGGCTTTTTCTTTAAGCAGATTGATAGCTTACTTGTTGACTTCAGCTAGACCTGGCTACACCATATATGTTTGGTTTTTATCTTTTCATATAATTTAAACATCAGCAGCTCATATGAGGTTAAACTGCTAGGAAGAGATTAACTATCAACCACGGAAGACCTTCCATCATGGTAATTAGAATAGTCAGCTAAACTTAACCTCTTTCTTTCCTGCAAAATAACATACTAAGTAAGTAGGAATATACAGGTGGAAATTGTTCTGCAGATTTTGCTAAAACCATGACATAATATGCAGCTATACCACTGTAGTAATGCAGATTGAAAACAAAACAAAAAACCCACAAACAAATAAATAAGAAGCAGCAATCAATAATGGATAATCGTGTACATGAGCAATGATCCAGAGGTTCAAAGCAGCAGCCACTAAAATACACTTGATCAGTTATTGGTGTTGGAACTGATCTGTAAAAGCATGCAAATAACAGCAGTCAGTTGGTAGCTGCAATCAATCAATCAATTTTAGAGTACATAATACATTTGAACAAAGAGATGTTCATTAGAAAGAAAAATCAGAGCAATGCTGACCTTTCCGTCTTGAAGAGTATTTACTCCCTGTTTGTTATCTAAAATTTAGAGAAATATTTCCATCTAAAACATTTTAATCCAGAAGTAACATACATTGGGAACAATTTACGCAGCAGTGAGTAGGAGCAATTTCATCAATCCTGGAGTCTTTTTGGGAACACAGTCATATTAATTGCGACTGAGCTTGCTCAGATGAGTAATAATATCAGATTATGTTCATGTAAGAGGGTTTTCTAATGAACACAAAAGAAACTTAGAGCTTTATTTCTGACACTTTCACAACAAACAAAAATGAGAGAAGGCAAAATGAACAGCCCCTTTTTCATCTACCATGCTTTGAATTGTTATGTGACAATGACCAATAAAAAAAGTCAGTATTGTGATGCCTCTTTCTACCTGTACCTTTGTAAGCAGAGCTGATGAGTTCCGTCACATAGTGCTTGCTGCATTGTCTGGTTAGTGTAATTTACTGGATCATTAGTGAAAAGGGAAAATTATGTTGTAGCTGTGGTAACTAGTAGGGCAAGGAATATCTAAGAGCATATAAAAATATGGAAGGATTGAGAACAACTGAAAAAACAGAAGATTATTACCTTCACTAATGCAAAGTTCCTTGCATGTTTAAGGAAGTCATAGCCAACAGGATAAAAAAATGCAGCTATGAGTACTTTTGTATTCAGCATCTGCATTTACAGTTAAGTGCAGGATAATTGCAGTATTGACAGTGTATATAAACTGAGAGTAATGAAACTATTACACTCCCCATTATTTCAGAGTTCTGTGTCGCCATGAAAAACAATTGACCTGTAAAAATTCAGTTTCCAGCTTTCCTCTCTCTGTATTGCAGACATGATAAAACGGTAATTATAAATGCACGATAACAAAATGGCAAACTGGTAATGCTGTTGACACTGAGAGTAGAAAACACTTTCCTGGGAGCATGATTCCATCCCTGACATTCCATTTGGAATATGTTTGTGTTATGTGTATGTCCCTTATATCATACATATAGCATATGCCATGTGGACACTTAGTATCCTTTATGTCTAAGTTAGATTGAAGAAAAAAGTGTCAGTTTTCAAATCTTTCTGTTTAAAAATATATATGTATATATTCTGTTTATTTGCTTTTTACTGCTTTAAATCAGCATTTTGAAACATTTTGGTAATTTCAGACTTTCATTTAAGGGTTTGGGTTTTATATATATATGAGTATATATATATCTTGGAGACAGTCTAATGATTTGGACAAAATGTATTGCAACTTTAGATATACTCATGAGACAAACGTATTGTGAGTTTGTTTATAAAAGTTTGCATGCATAGGTCTCAGTTTAGTTAATTTATACAAACTTATTGTATAAGCTGCCCAATACTGCATCAGTAAGCTATTACTAGTGATTTTAGGATTAGATACAGCATATAATATCTTAAAACCTGCTGTGATGGGAAGATTGAGGTAAGGGATGAATGCTGAGGAGTCCCCATCATATACATTAACCCAGTGTGATGTGTAACTTCATAGAACTGACCAATTCAGAAAACTACTTCTTATTAGAACTGTCAAACCTCAGCCAGTACTTTTTTTGTCTGAAAACCTCTCTAGTGCAGTGTTGTAAGGAACTAATACAAAACTGCAACATTTACAACAAGAAATGCTTTAGGCTACCTTTAGTGTAAGGAATAGATAGCCACAATAATTCTGTATTTTATCATGGCTCCTCAGTAACATTATTTCTAATATTTCATACATTAAGAAAAAAGATCTTAAAAAACTTACATATGAATTAAAATATGTTGTTCTGGTTTTTAATTTAGCACAAAAAAATCTTATTAGTTATCAAAAAAATGCATTTTTCTTCAGCTGCTTTTCTTGGAGATAATAGTTCCAAGTTGAAATGCTTCTTTCAAACTCCATCCCCCTGCCCTTTAAAATCACACAGAATCACAGTATGGTTGAAGTTGAAGGGACCTCTGGAGGTCCTCTGGTCTAACCTCTCTGCTTAAGCAGAGCCACTTAGAGCAGGTTGCCCGGAATCATGTCTAGATGGCTTTTGAAGATCTCCAAGGATGGAGACTTCACAATTTCCCTGGGCAACCTGTGCCAGTGCTTCGTTACCCTCACGGTAAAGTTTTTTCCTGATTACAGTGTTTCCCAGTGTTTGGACAGAAAAGTTTCAACTCTGTGTAGGAGTACCTTCTAGCTAAAGAGAAGAGATTTTATAAGAAGTCTCCATGCTCAGCTTCTTTCAACAAAAGGAAATGTAGTTTCAATTCAACTTAAATATTGCTAAAGTGTCATAAAACACTATAAACTAAACTATTCATAGGAGTTTAAGAAATCCTCTCTTTATAGGGAGAAATACATAAATATTTGTCTCTGTCTTACAGTGCGAGCTGATTGTCTGGGTGGTTGTAGTTCATAGTCATAGCTACTATACTGCTTTGTAATATAATTCTGCTTCACACAAATAATTTATGAGTGGGCTAGAATAACTGATGACTTTCACTGGCTTTCCTAGGCTAGGGACTTCAGTGATAGGAAGTGAGCTCTGTACAGCAACAAGAGATAGTTGCAACTCCTCAGTGGGCAGAGTGCCTCTCCATTTGTCCAGGGATTGTCCAAAGGTGATGTTGATAAATAAGGAAGAGGAAAAGTATCAGCTACCTCTTGGGCTGGCTGTCAAGGTTCATCTACTGCTGACTTGCTGGTTTAGATATTGGTTTATACTTGGTTAAAACTGTGGTACTTACAGCAATGGCAATAAGACTGTTGTTTGCCCAGCAATGTGTTCCTCATGTTTTTAGATTTTGTTCATTCAGTAGGCAGTGATTAGCACCTCCTTGAAACACGGGGGTGAGCCATAATAGAGAAAAAGCACCCAATACATACTTCTAAATCAAATCAACAGCTGTGCATTCTTTCTCACTTGAGAATGATTAAATTAGGTCTTTCTATCATTTCTAAATTTTTCTGACTATTTAAAGTATGAAGTTTCTCAAATGCAGGTTCAGTGATGTGTGATTGTAATTTACTTCTGGAATCAGTTAATTGTAAGAAAGTTCATCAGTTTGAATTAAAACATTCAAATTCAGTATAGATTTAAGAGTCCATAATCTGACTTCAATACAGTTACCGGATTTTTTGTTATCTTATTAGTTAGTACTATAACTATTTTCTACTATTTAAGGAGTTAATCCTTGTCCTAACTTTCCATAACCTTATCTTTTTCTTGTTTTTCAGGGTCAGCCTGGTCCTCAAGTAAGTGCTGTCTTATTTTCCTACATAAGTTAAAGCTAAATACAGGGGCCACCAAATTCAGGTTATTTACAAAGTATTTTGATGATTTTTTAAAATCCTACTGAAATAATCTAGAAACTGGTAACCATTGCATAATTCAGTAAGGCAGATATTTCCCAAGAGAGAAACATGGGGCCCCCCATATGGTTGTCTGAGTTCCCTCAGCTGTTTAACCAGATGGTGGGGTTAACAACGTAATACTGAATAAAGCAAATCTCCTAACTATGGCTTGAAGCTTTGCCACCTAACTTTAAAGCAAGATAACTTAACAAATGTGTAACAAATGTAATACTTCAACTGCTTATTAATCACATGCTAATAATGTTGCTATAATCCAGGCAGCTCTCAGTTATTTTAGATATTGCACTGCTAGGTATTTTGGTTAGTTCTATACACTGCTTTGAGTTAGTTCTGCTTTATTTAAAAATAGTAGAACTTTGTCTTGTGAGCTGTAATTGAAGACATCAAAATGCAGAGTTCTGACTTCAGTTCTAAGGTAGAAATAGATCAGCAGAAAGGAAACATTAGATATAGCAAAAATTGAATTTAAATTATTTGAGTTAAAGAGCGGTATATAAATGTGGAAGGGCAAGAAAATTGAGAGGGGGGCAGAGGGGAAAGCCAATACCAAATCCAACCTTAGTGAAATCAGTTGAAAAATTCTAGCTTTTTGCATACTCAGGATGCATTATGGGAAGTAAACTCTGGTCTCTGGGACCATCTTAGCACAAGTGATTTGCTTGAACTAGGATTTCTGTGAGGGCCTTTTATATTTGAGAATCTTAATTGGAAGTCAAAGCTTTACAGCCTTATTGACTGAATTTTTTCAAGTTAAGATTTTCTTTATGGGAAAAAAGCATTTTCCTCATATTTTTTTTGTTTCTAATATTTTTTTTTTCTGCTGAAAGATAGTTTGTGTTATAAACCTTCATCCCACTCAGTTTGAATGCCTAGTATCCTTGTAGTGCCAGGCTCCATTTAATAGTATTATATAAGTAGTCTGTACAATACTGGAAATAACCACCCCTCCACAGTGCTTATGTTTCACAGTAGGGTCTTGACGTGTGGTCTACACAGAGAGTTATCTTCAGTCTCTGTGCTGCTGGGGGTCAATGAAGAGGGAGACTGTAATTCTGTGTGGCAGTCCTGCTCTGAGCAAGCTCTGTTGAGGACCTGAGGCTCTTGAGGCTGTGGGCTGCCCTCTAGTTGATGTTGACTTGTGCTGCCACCCATGTCTCTTCCCTCTGGGTTTGGACCCCCATCTCTCACATTTCAGTTGCTTGGAGAATGTCTCTTGCTTAATGCTTGTGAACAGCTTCTCAGTCTTGGGAGCTCATATCTCTACATAAAATGCCCTGAGGTAGCTGTAGGCAAAGAACCACAGTAGAGATGGCAACATTCTGTGCTGTTTCAAGGACAGAAAGGCAGAAAAATTTTGTCACAATTGTAAGAGAAGTCGGGTGCAAACCATAGGAAAAACTAAAAATCCCCCTCCTCCAAACTGTACTAACTTCTCTGTGCCCCAAATGATTATACAGAGAGCAGGTGCAAGGTACTAGGACCAACAAGACTTAGGATGAGAATTCTTACATCCTAACTTCATTAGTTTCTCCCAGTGGAAATGCTCATCTTTGTACCATTGCCGTTGTCCTGAGCGACACTTACCATTATTCTTAATACTGACTTTTTCTCCTTTTCAGCTGAAGATGCTCTTATTGTGGTAGGAGGATACATATGTACTCAGTCATTTTGACTGGCTGATTGAGTCCAGGAATAAATCTTGTAAGGGCACTGATGAGGAAGTCATAATGACATGAGGCTCAGCTTTAGATCAAGATGGCTAAACCTAGAAGCTTCTGTGCAGGTGTTGACATGTGAGGTGTCTAAGCACTCCTTGTAGTCCATGAAGGTCGAGTCCAATGCTCAGTGCACCTAGAAACCTCTTCAGCTTATTGTAAGCTCCCAGGGCTCAATTACATTGCCTGCCTGCAGGTGTTTGTTGTTGCATGAGACGATCCAGGGTCTCCAGTCTAGACTCTGGCTGTTGTGTGTACAAGGGATGGAGGCTGTATTGGACCTTTGTTGTAACTGTCAGTCATGGGCAGCTGTCTTTGGATACACAGGGACACATGACACTAGTTGTACACATTCATGCCTCTTAATTACAGATTCTGATTACAGGCAGCTACTGAGTCAAACAACCATTCTGCTGAATTGCTTTCTAGCCTATGTTGACATCTATGTGTCTTAGGCAACTACATGTAGGCTGTACATTTAGATGTCTTTCTTCTTAAACTGAAAGCCAGATCCAGATAACTTCATGAGACAGCATTTTAAAAATGTTGAAAGCTGCGGTTGAAAATCTCAAGACTTTTAAAAAATATTTTTAAGGTATTAGTGTAAAACAGAAACTGTTCACATACAGATAAAATAAGCCAAACCCCCTCAGTTTCTCATTAAAAAACTGCAAATTTTCAGCCACCCATGATTTTCAGTAATTTCCCCACTCTTAACTGTGTCCATGAGAAATACAAAATGAAAATTATTGGTCAGTTTGGTTAGTAAGTAAAGGCTTCCTGTCTTCAAAGATCAGAATTTCTATGCTGACAAAAGAAAGTTTTTGATGTCATAGCCATGTAAGTCCACACTGAGATCAAAGATAAATTCTAATCCTTTTTACACTCAGTGTTTTATTAGCACCTATTCTTTTTTGCTATGATTTTGAAAAAGTGCACACTAAATTCACCCAACACGTACATAATTACTGAGTACAAATATAAATTCATACCAGATCAGTAACACCTATCTTTTTATCTTTGAATTTTTACTGCTTCTTTTCTACAAAAATATACCACAAAGGATTATTTTGCTTCGTATTTTCCTGTTTGAAGTAAAAAGAAGCTTTATTAAAACCCACAAGCATTTTATCAACAAATGCTCATGGTTCTATTGTAGCTCTGAAAGGTAAAGACCATAATGAATAGCTAAAGAATTTCTAGCATAACCTTTAAAAAAATAAAGAACCTTCTTACGATTTTGGTTTTCTGTTAAAAAGAAAGCTGTTTCAAATACCATGAAAACTGAGTTTCTTTGTAGAATAGCAAGTAATAAAATTTTTAATATTTTTTCTGAAACTTAAATTCTGACTTTTGAGTGACCCCACAGAATGCCTGCTTTTTCTTGTTTAGAATGTAAATATGTATTTAGATTAGCTTGTACAAGAAAGGTTTATTTTCCCAATAAATCTATGGAACCAAATTCTGCCCATACATCTACTGTTTAAAATAGCGGGAGTATTCATGTTTGTCAAAGAACAGACTAGCTTCTAGTCTAAAGTTAATGTACTATCTGGGTAAAGAGAGGTGGCTTGCTATTTTTAACTTTTTTTGTTGTTTAGAAGTAAAGTTCATATAAATATTAGAAAACAGTGCATTTAGTATTATGGTAAAGGAAGAGAAAATGATCCTTTATGAAATCCTGCTGAACTAAAACTGTTAACAAATACAAATGTGGGGAAAGGTGGTATTTAAGTGTGACTTTGTCTCAGTCAGTCAACTCTTCTCTTTGTGGCAGTATGCTCTCTCTGGCCTGTCTCTGGTGCAACATACTTTCTCTCTCATGTCAGCATACATGATCACTCTCTGTGTGGGACTTTGAGATATTGCAGCCCCACAGATGCTTCTCCCTTCACTTTGGCAGCCATTCAAATTTGCATTAGAAATGGACAAAATACTAATGATTGATACTTGTTTTCATGAGACTCTTGTTTTCCTATATGTGAAACGTCTGTGGAAGAGATGTTATTTCAGTCTGAAATTTTCCAGTGTTGTGTGCATGATAAAGGGTTACCATAGCAATTCTGGTGACAAATGTATGTGTGTGTCTTTTTCACCGTCAAGCTTCAGGGTATGTGACTGGAGTATTTTTAATTTCTGATGACAGAGATTCTGATTCATGGTTAGACAGGCTATTACTAGCTTGTGTTGTCAGCAGAGCTGGTGGGAACCATTTTAACTTTTAGTTTTCTGGGTTTTGTCAAGGACTGAGAAAAATAGCCAGCAGGACATAGGCCACAGTTTTGAGCTGTTTGGGATGGCAGCACTGTATTTAAGAGATTTGTTTATCGCTTCCAAGAGAACACTGTGATAGTAGGAAGAATCCTAGACCTTAGTAAAGAGTTGAGTATCTGACAGCAGGAAGGATGGGAAGGGGACTGTATAAAGAAAATGTATTTTAAGTGCTGCTGTTTCCCTTTCAGTTTTGGTAGTTTGGGTAGCCATCTGCATTTCAAGAACTGTTAAATATTCCTCTCAGTTAGCACATCCCATTCAGTACTGAAGTGGTTGATAAGGTTAAGTTATCATGTATGTGTTTTGATGGCTTTTTAAGCTATGGGCAAGGTATATAATATGACCTATCACCTAATACTGCTAAGTGGTCTCTACCTGTCAGACCCTTAGAGTTGAACATGTTGCTTTTGTTCTGATCACCATAAACTGAGGTGTAAATTCCATGTTCCTTGTGCCCAGCAGTTTTCCTTTATGAATGCCTTGAGTCTCTCTACTTGTGTGGAAAGTCGGGGAAGGAGGCAAAAAGTACACTTATGAAGAACAAAATCAGCATAAGGCTGGAGAAATAGTTCATCACCTTGAGGTACACAGTGCAGTAGAGATGCTGCATCTGAAAGAAGGCCAGTGGTTGTATCCAGGCCATCAGCTATTCACACTCTAGAGAATTATCTTGTGTGGTGTTTTTTTCTCCCTAAGCTCCTTTGTAAACTTCTGATCCTTCTGAAGGATTGTATTGCTCAGTCTGAATACGCAAGTGCTAGACTGCTTCTGAGTTACGAGTTACAGACCTCCAGACCAGATTTTGCTGTCAGACTTTAACAATTAATTTGTTAACAAAGTACAGGTACAGTCATTCAGATTTTTGTTTTCTACGCAAATATGGAGTGATGT